TACGTACGTACGTACGTACGTACGTACGTACGTACGTACGTACGTACGTACGTACGTACGTACGTACGTACGTACGTAGTAGTAGAGTAGAGAGAGAGAGAGAGAGAGAGAGAGAGAGAGAGAGAGAGAGAGAGAGAGAGTGTTGTGCAAATGATGGCCCACCGACAGGAACTCAGGGCCATGCCCTTCTATTTGAATGGATTTTCTTGCTTCTTCCATTGACGTTAGCTCATGTTTCAGAAGCAATGGACATTGCAGAGATTCATGGGAAATTTCTTACATTAAATTAGAAAACAACAACAAAAAAAGAACTTTTTCTTATAAACTATGTTAAGTTTAAAAGGTGGTTTCTCCATGTTATCGAAATTCACAGAAGCTATGTCGACCCAGGGGGTCTTCAATCTCAATTCCAGCCCCTGTACTTGAATAGCTTTTCTTGTTTCTGCGGCCCCTAAAGAGATCCACCTCTGCTACAAAAACTGCACAAACTGGACGGTGGTCTGAGAACCTTGATTCTCCTCTGATGTAAGAGAGTTGTTCAATCCCATGCCCATACCACAAAATACGATCACACCTGAAACTCAAATTTTTTGAAAAGAGATTATGAGAAAGAAAATGAAAACCTAAGTTGATATCCTATTCTCATATCTTATTTACGTTCAAATTGATTGGATGAAATACCATGCAGGAGTTCTGCGCTTTTTCTTTGATTTTACAGTCTCTCCTGCATATAAATCCGAATTGCTGGAGTACTTGTAGGTGGGAGCAAAATATATCTTCCCCTCCTTCCAGCCCTTAAACACTCTTCCTGCTTCCCTCTCTATCTTGAGCTGCAATATCCAGGGGTATTTGTTGCTTAGTGACAGGTCACATCATGGTCTTCGAGTGAGGAAAATAGGTAGCAAGTAGAATTCGATGATGATACAAATGAAAGAGCCAAAATTTGGAGAGGCATTTAGTATGAGAAAACAAAGAAAAAGAAAGTTTGGTGTAAACCAAAAGCATTTATTTGGGAAAACTAGAGAAGCTGATAAATGAATTTCCTAAGAGAAACAGTCAAAAACAAGAAGATAAGAAAATGAATGTCCTCTTTTTTAAATGCTAAGAAAATGAATGTGGATGGAATCATCTGTGAAAAAAGAGAAAGGGAAAGAAATCAAACCTGATCTTTTTGTAAGAGGGCATCCCAGTCGTTATCCTCCAAGAACTTCCTGGTCTTTGCATAGCTCAGAGCGATTCGGTAATTCAAATCTCCAAACCATATTACTCGACTGATTCAAGATATAATGAGAAAATGTCACTCTCAGCTACCCACTAGCTATTAGGATCAAATGTTTATAATCATCAAAATTCAATATATAATTAATAACCAAAATTCAATACATATTTCAGAAAATAAACAAATATCAATACATATTTAAAAAAATTAAAGACACTGATGCTAAAAAATTTCAACCCACTCATGCTCAAGAATTCTCTCTGGTATCATTCGACTTGGGGTCTTGCAGATCCTAGGAAACTGTGTGTTCTTCAAAATCTCAATCACATCCTGGTTTCGCTTCAGCTCGTCACCTTCCTTCTCACCAGAAGCTAGATGAGAGCAAACAAAGCAGAAGCTTGTCTGGTGCAGAGACATGCTCACTGCTATGCAACCCTGAAAAACCACAAAGAAAAGTCTTTTAACCTACGAAAGTACGAAGCCAACCATGACTTCTTAGTAGCTACTCAACCGGAGATTTGAGTATCATTAACAATTTGAAGAGATATTGTACTTTTACAAATACATTACGCAACCAACCTTGGAGTTACTTCTTTGGCAGCTTTAAACATCATATATTACTTATGGTACCATCATTGTCGTCATCATCGTCATTTGGATAAGTATACTGTTATCCAACAGACTAAGAAAAGCCAAGAAATGTCTTGAGCTAATCACTACCCACTAAGAGGATGAATGGTGATTGAGAGAGTGGGCCCACCACATGGGTTGTTCCCTGTTTTCGTGGGTTCCGTTTTCTCTCAATCACTATCCATACTTCCATTGGACTGCCATGACCCAATGAACTATGATTTTCCATAATTTATGAGATCTTTGATAATACTTTGTTGAATTTTGATCGTGATGTAGACATTCTTAGGATTGTTCAAGTGATGAAAGATAAAGTAATGCAGATAGCAGACAAATAATTCTTCAGAAGATAAACACACCTTGTTGCCAAGACAACCCATAATTCCACGTCCAACACATGCAATTCTGAGATGCCCAACATGCTGAACTAGTTCATTCCTCACCCACACTGAAAGAAAGATACCCACCATCTGTTTACTTGCAATCAAACAATAATTCAACTGATTCGAGTTTGACATATCAATAACTGACCCATCTTCATCTACATAATCTTCTTCACATATTGAACATGAATCCACCTTCTGTATAAGTTCTCCAAGCTGTCTATGCTTCCTCTCAGAGAACTCAGAAGGGCAGTTACAGGTCTTAAGAAGCACATTGTCCACTCTAAATTTTCTACTTAGAACTTTCAAAGAAGGCTTTTGAAAGAAGAGAAGGCCACTTCCTGACTGGGAGTCTTTTGAATTTGGGTTCCTAACTGAGACTTCTGCTGAAGGTTGACCCTGTTGCAATGGCTGATGGTGATGGTGATGGTGGCTCTGCTCATTTGGTTTATTGAGCGTTTGGCTGATGAGAGAGAGCCACTTAGCAGCTGGCTCATTGTCTTCGATTACAAGCACATTTCCTGCATTTAAAGGAACGATTTCCTGAAACCTGGAGAGAAATGCAAAGAGTAAACACAAAAGTATAGTTCTTGCTTATGTTAGAGAGAGAGAGAAAGAGAGAGAGGAGGGTTTCTCAACCCTAAGATGTATATGTCTGAGGAGCCCTCAATTTGCAAGAAATCATCAAGGTTGAGGCCACTGTTTGGAGGTTTTCCACCGACATTCCATGTTGCTACGAATATCCTATATCAATGTTCAGAAAAATATATAAAATGTGACATGGGTTATGGCTGCTAAAGATTAAATACTGGGTTAGTGAAAGGATTTCAACAAAAAGAGCACTTCTTGATAGCAAAAATGAGAAATTATTGATGAAATGTAATGTACCGAAATTCTTGAATATTGACGAGCTGCGTAGTGGGTTCATAGTTGCTGATATTCAGCCCTTCTAGTCTTGGGTTCATGTGCCTCTCTGTTTATAATTTTTGCAATAACATGACAGGAATACACAAGCATTTCAGCCAACTAGAATACAAGACTAGAAATCAATAATTTTTGCAATGAAATGACAGAAGAATACACAGCATTTCAGCCAAGTAGAAATCAATAGTTCAAAACAGAACAGTCTCCATTTAGTGAGTACCTGAGAAGCTTTTCCTGACAAAAGGGGAGGCATCCATTAGGCGAGCCCCGTGGGTCAATGTCAATCTTCTTTCAACTTCTGCACAAAAGGGGAATAAAGCAGAAAATGGGAAAATAATGAGAGAGAGAGAGAGAGAGGATTGGGTCAATTGCACACATTACCTCGCACTACTTCGCTTCTACCAAGTACATCATCGTCTGCACTGCTTCTACCAAATTCATCATCGTCTGCACTTCTCCCGTTCCTCCATTTCTTGGAAAAAATATTTGGAATGATGGACTGTCAAAAACCAGGAAATTTATGAGAGAGAGAGAATAGGAGAACCAATAAGAGGGTTGCGCCAGTTGTAACCGAAACATAGAAAACCAGAGCAAAGGAAAACAAATGGTTAAGAAATGAGAAAAAAAATATGACGATTAGGTAATAAGGAGAAAGTACATTGAATACAGCCCACCAATGAAAAAAAACGGAGTAAAAACGTACGTCGAACACCGAACTAGAACCGGCGTTCGAAATCACAGAGAAGGATCATCATATGGGGAGATATAGGGAGAGAGAATAAAGTAATGCACAATGTATAGTTTTATACCACTTGCTATTAAAAAAACTTACATTGAATACAAGCCAGCATCAGCATTCAAAATGAGAGAGAGAGAGTAAACATTTGATACCAGTAAGCATAAAACAATATATGTTTACAAAACCATAACCACGTTCAAGAGAGAGAGTCACATTATTGGAAGATAGAGAGAGAGGCTAATGGAAAAACACGAGAGAAGAAAGCAAAAAATCCATGAAAATGCAAAACAAGCATGAAGCCTCTGAAATATCGTTAAAAAAAAAAAGAAAAAAAAAAGGAAAAGGTACCTTCTTTCTCTTGTCACTTTTAATGGACGATGAAGAGTGAGAGGCATTGCTCTTTGTCATTTCTTTGAAGACGACGACGATAAAGTGGTGGTGGTTTGGGCTAACATTAATCAGTGGCGTTTACATATCATCATCGATCTAATCATTCACATTCATACTTAATCACCGCCTAATTAAAATTAAGATACACAATTTCGGGTCATTAACTTCAATTAATCTTTGGATCAAGCTGGCTGAGCCATGCAGTACATGCACACCACCCACGCTTCGCTTCAGCACTTGCCTCCGCTACCGGCCACCGCCACCCCTCACAAAGAATGTAGAGACAGAGGAGAGAGGAGAGAGGAGAGAGGAGAGAGAGTCTCAGAGCAAGCCACTCCTCCAAAACGCTTGAATTTCTCCCTTTTTTTCTCCACTTTGTACGCTCCTTTAGTAATTAACAGACTCTCTTGGCCATATATCCCGCAAGAATGCGTCAAAGAGTTAACCGTCAATTACGAAAATAACAAAAAAAATCCCAAAATTCTTGTTATGCAACTTACCCAACAAAACTTTTTCTTTCACTTTTTTCTCAAAAACAAACTTGTTATACAAATGCCCAAAGTAAAAAGTTCATTGTTTTAGATAGAAATGCTCTTCTCGTATACAAAAATCAATTTGGCCAGATTTGATATTGACTTTTGGACCCAATAACATATTGTCGAAGCGCACAATCGCATTGCTGGATCGAAAATCAATTTGGCCAGAATTGACGTTAACTTTTGGACCCAATAACACATTGTCAGAGCGCACCGGATCGAAACTGAGTACTGCCGTACCGCCGTTTGCAATTGTCAGAGCCCAGTGACTAAGAAGTTCTACTATCGGAAGACCGTTTGCAACTGTTGGAATGTTGTGACTCCAGAACTTGTACTGCCGGACCGCACTTACATAGTGCAGAAGCCCTGTGACTCCAGAGTGTTCTATTGCTAGACCGTACGTAGCGCTGTGATTCCAAAGTATTCCACTGTCAGACCGCACTTACACAGTACTGGAGCACTGTGACTCATTCCACTGCCGGATCGCACTTATACCTTGCTAGAGCACTTGATCCACTGCTGTTGGATCGCACTTACACCGTGCTAGAGCACTTGATCCACTGTTGGACTGCACTTACACAATACAGAAGCCCTATTTTGGTGGGATAGAGGAGAGAGGCACATGTAAAGGAAAAGTAAGGGAGGATAATTTAGATTTTTTTTATTTATTTTTTGGTTGGGGTATATTTGTATACAAATTGTAGTTTGAGGAAAAAAGTGAGAGAAAAAAATAGATTGGGTAAGTTGAGTCTGGTTTATTTTTTCCTATATTTTATACGTTAGGTGGTGAGCCATTGATTCAAAATTTCGGCTCTTTTTGGTTGAATTTTTCACGAAATGTGGTGGTATTTTGTTTTGGGGGCGACCGAAACGGCCGTTCACCACTGAATAACGGTTGGGTTTTTAAGACATACTCGAAGAAATGCGAAACGACCAAGCCTACCATTAAAACATAGTTTCTTAAAAAAAAAAAAAAAAAAATCATTTTTTTTTGAAATTCGTTAGGATCTCTGAGGTTTTTGAAAAGATCTTCAAAACATCACCTTGTTTTTTAATGGAAATGATGCAACCCTATATTATCCTTTTTTTTAAAAAAAGTTTCTTATTGAAACTTATATTCTCTTCATTGATTTTCTAGTTTTAATTTGGTCTTGAGATAAGCACATTAAAAATGGGATTGAAATAAGAATCTTAACAAAAAGATTTGTCAAAAATTTCACCAAAATATTCTCTTAAGAAATTGTATCAAATAAAACACAAGCAATATGTTGCCAGAAAAAATTAATATCTGAAAACAATAATATATCTCAATGTATTCCGATAAAAAAAAAGAAGACTCAAAACAATCTCTCATTGTGTGCTCCAACAAATCCATCGTATGTAACATGTCATGACATTCGAGTAAGCATTGTTCTTATATTTAATGAAAATTTAGACAAAAAATTGTCAAGTATTACCTTACCTATGATTTTAGATAAGGATATAAATTATTATTTAATGACTTTAACATATATGCCATGATTTTAGTAACAATTTTATCTTGTGCCATCATTACATATCCGATTTTTTGTTTTATTTTTTGAGTGAAATCCAAAATATTCATGATTTTTTAACTTGCTTAATTTTTGACAATATGTATTTTGAATCTGTTTTTTGCCTGACTTTTTGGAACAAAACTGATTATTACCGTTGTTTTAGTTTTACCAATGCGAATTATACCCCTACTTGCTAACTACGACATGCAAAATCCCTTTTATGCACCAAAAAATATAGAACTTATACTATAGTCCATAGGCATCATAAAAGGGTCAGTGTTATTTGTATTATCACCGTCCAATCAATGGATGTACGGAATATAATCCCCCTTGGATGGGATGACATCACATAAAGCACCAGAGAAATTATTTTTGAGTTGAGATGAAATTATTTGACCGAAATTTAGTTATGAATTCGGCTGGATCTCCTTTTTAAAATCGTCCAAAGGCCCAAAATAAAAAGACATTAGTACTGCTCTCGCCGCAAAATCGGATATTTTTTGTGCCCTTTTCCTTCCCATGAACAAAAATTCGGTTTCGTCCAAAATTTGTCTAGTAAATTAGTAATGAAACGACGAAAAAACCGAATTTTCAGCCTTTGATCGGACACGTGTTATAGGGTCATCATCAGGCACTATAACGGTTGCATGTCACGTAAACCTCATATTGTAGCGTCCTTAGGAATCGGCACAGCCCTTTCCATGTAACTCTTACTCCTCATTTGGGGAACTAGGAGTCTTAAAGGACAATGTTCCACCTAAGGTTGTATAAAACAAAATGTGAAATAAATGAATATAATTATAATAGAAAGCAAAAATAAAATAAAATAAAATTAAAATCACACTAGCACACAAGACTTACGAAGTTTACTTTATAGGGCTACATCAACACCCTAAGCAAGTACAAATCTACTTGAGCTTATAAAAGCTAATACCTACTTTTAAACATCGGTAAAATTTTATTGATTTTTTTTTTAAAGCTGTTCTTTCGATTGAGCAACACTGTCAATCAACCTCACCTTTTACATCACTGTATAGCTACCAAAAAACAACACCTTATGAGCAACACTGTCGATCAACCTCACCTTTCGCATCACTATATAGCTACCAGAAACATCACCTTAAAAAAAATTGAGAGACTTTCTCTCTCAAGAATTAGACACTTAACCAACCTGCTTCTCTCTCTCTCTCTTGAAATACCATTTCCGTCTTGAAAATCCCCTTCTCATAACCCCAAAGCCAAAAAAGGGTGACCCTAAAAAAGAGGAGTATTATATTTCCTTGACCCATTTTATAGAGGTCACTATGCTTTCTTTCTTTCTCCCCCCAAAAACGCCTTTTTCTCTTTATCAAAACACCATTAATTTTTTTAAAAGGAAAGAGGGCGTGGTGATTTTGACAATCACCTAACCTAAGATTCCCTGTGCATTATTCACTCAGTAATGTTTGTGAAAATATATGAAACTTATTTTTGGAAATTGGATTTCATAAGAAGCCATTTTGATTAAATTTAAGAGTGGCAATGGGCCGGCTCGCAGGGCCTGTGTGCCTCAGCATGTAAGTAGGCGTAGCTCATTGACGATGTGTGTGAAACCACTTGATCTCAATCGAAATTGAGACCAAAATATACATTTCATGAAACACTACAGAGTCCAAAATTTTTTGGCAACATTAAGTACCCGTTAACTCTGATTTTCAAGTGAAGAAAGATGAGGCCTACCTACCTGTGTTTTGTGCGAATCAGTGTTGGCTTGTAAAGGATCGAGCCTGGCGTCTCGTTTGAGCGAACCCACTTCCGGTTCGATATGGCTTGAGAAACGTGCCAACTTTTGCAGACACGGTTAATTAGCCCTCACAGCAACGAAACTCTGAGTGAGTGAAAAGAAAAAAGAAGTGAATACTGCCATGAATGAAGGTTGGTTTAAGGGCTTTTCTTATGATTTGGGAAGTAAGAGAGTGGGGTAGGGTTACGTTGTGGGCAATAGGGGAGGAGGTGAGGTGGGGAGTACATATAAAAATCGTGAGACGTGGGTGACATGGGCGGTGATCCATGGCTCTTTCTGATTTTGGGTTGACGAACGACCATGCTACGGCTAGGTGTAGGCGTTCTTTACAAAGTTTTTGCTCTTTGTGGTTGATATGCACCCGGATTTCGGAGATGGTAGGACCCACCTCCATCTCTCTCTACCCTCTCTCCTCGCAGCCGGGAAAGACCCACCTCTCTCTCTTTCTCTCTCTCTCATGCATTTTCTTTTCGAAACTAAATGCTCTTTATCGCATTTGGCTATACGAATGAAAAATCGTGTGGTTCAAACTCTGACCGTCCGGTTAGATCGGAACTAGTCATTGATTGATTTTGGTGTATCCGACGAATATTTTAAATTTTTTTAAAAAAATTATAAAAAATCTCAAAAAATAAAAGATTTTATTTATTTTTTTAGCCTACCTAAAAAATTTTACTAGAAGAAGTTGTTTATTTATAAAATCTCAAATTAGAACCTATCTAAAAAAGTTCACTAGAAGAGGTTGTTTTGATGCCCAAATATCCTCAAATTCATCATCTCGACATCATGATGAATAGACATGAAAAAAAATGGATTTCAAGTTTTGGAAATAATGTATTTTGTTGGACCGTCAATTTTCAAGATTTTCATAAATATGTCGATCTACACTATTAAAAATTTATAAAAAAAAATAAAAATATATTTTAAAGCTATCATAATGATTTTCAATATTGAAACTACATTTCTCAAACACTATTTGAAGGTAGGTTCTAATTGATTGTTTAAAGCCTAGGCTCTGTACAAACCACACCCTTCTTTAAAATCTATTTCTTTCATTAATTTTCAACTTGATTTGGATGTTCTTTTTTTTATCATGTTTTAAATATAATTTTCAGAGATTATTAGATTTTTTTTTTTTAACAATTTTTTAACTGCTCTGGACTTGCCTGTTAAGCCAGTTGAACCAACCGGTTTACCAATTAGTCCGATTGAACTGCTTCTAGCCCTATGTCAAGTGATCCGTCCTCTTTCTTTTTGGGGCTTCAAGGCTCTTTCTCCATTAGGTACTTTTTTATTTTTTATTTTTTTTAAAATAAAAATTTTATTTTGGAATTTAATCTTGGTGGCTAGTTTCTCTCTCTTTCCCCTAACCCCCCCCCCCCCCCCCCCGGTTTTTTTTTTTTTTTTTTCCCGTTTTTGATAAAAGCTGATAGACACACACTCTCTCTCTCTCACTCTCACTCATATTTAGCTATGGGTGTGGCTTGCATAAGGTTGCAATCTTAAATAGCCAAATTAAGGTATATCACCAATTTTATTACAAGATGTAATTTCGACGTAAAAAATTCTTAAAATGGCCTAAGAATCTATTTTACATATCTAATTATACTATTTTAGACATAAAAAATAGTTCAAACCAAGAAGATCTATAAACACATGGAAATCTTAAAAGTGAATGGTGTAGATAATGTTTTACAAGATGCATTATTTTTAGGACTCAAATTTATTTATTTTATTTTATTTACATCCGTTCATCTCGATATCGAGACGAAGAATTAGAGATCAACTTCAAAACAACCACTTGGATTGAGATCAACTTCAAAACAACCACTTGGATTTTTTAGGTGTTCTAAATACAACTTTATATAAATTTTTTCCTTTGAAATTAGGTTTTCTCTTATGCGCTCTCTCTCTCTCATCTTTTCCTCTTCTCTCTCTTGAAAGGCTGCTTGAAAGGCTGCTTGTTTCTTTCTAGGAAGGTGGGTCGTTGTCCACCCATCTCTTGTTCGCCTATTTATTTATTTATTCTACACTTTTAAGCCTACTGTTTTATTTAATAATAGGATTCCGAGCCCTTATTTTGTCAACTTTCTTTTAGTCCACTCTATTATTTACGGGTAATGCCTCGCTTTACAACTCATCAAAAATTGCAATTCGAAGTATTGAAAATGTTTACATCGAGCCGAGGCTTTAAACAATCAAATTAGAGCCCACCTCAAAAATTTCATTAAAAAAGGTTGTTTTGGTGCCCAAATATCTTCAAATTGATCACCTCGACATCAAGATGCATAGACATGAGAAAAAAATAAATTTCAATTTTTGGAAATAATGCATCTTGTAATGCATTTTTGGACTGTCAATTTCAACATTTTCAAGTTTTTTTAGATCTGTTCGATCGATGTTATTTTTTAAGCTTTAAATTTTATAATTAAAGGTGAAAATATATTTTAAAGCTATCACAAAGATTTTCAATATTGAAATAACATTTATCGACACTATTTGAAGGTGAGCTTTAATTTGATTGTTTAGAGCCTCGGCAATATATAAATCGCACGCTTCAAGTATTAGAAAATCTTTACATGGATTATCTTGACTTGAACATTATGGTTATGAAAAAAAAAAGAAAAAAGATTTCCAATTCTAAAAATATGGTTATTGTAATAAATTATCTAGACTGTCAATGTCGCTCAAAAAATAAGTGTTTATAGATCCACATATTTTTTTAATTTCAAATTTTATTATTGGGGTTAAAAACTGATTTTAGAGCCATCATGAAAATTTTTGTTGCCGAAAGTGCTTTTTAGACAGATTTGAGGTGAACCTTATTTTATTTTTATAAAACCTGCTCCTTATAGAAACCTCATCCTTATTTATATTATTCTAAGGCTTACGGCTTTGTGCGGGTTACATTTCTTTTATCATTACCTTTCTTTA